GGGGGGGGGGGGGGGGGGGGGGGGGGGGATTCCCGGCGAGGGGCGCAGGATAGAGGAGGAAGATGGGTGGCGACCGCGCCAGAGGGCGGAGCCCCTGGAGCACGGGCAGAAAAAAAGCCCGGGATCTGGGGCCGGAAAACCGTGCGATCCAGCCACCCCCAGGACCGCACGCACATCCCCTAACGCGCGGGTGTGCCGCGAGCCCCGCCTACTTTAGGCCCCCCCCCCCCCGGGGGGGTGGGTTGACGCAACGCGCTGGCATCCCGGTCGGCTGAACCCCCCCCCCCGCCCCCCCCCCCCTCCCGCCGCGCCGCCCGGAGTGGTCCACCCGCACGAGGGTCGGTGTGAGTGCGCGCGGAACTCACGGCGTTAGCGCGCCCGGGTGTGGCCCCCGCCCCCCCCCTCCCGGCCACCGTCGCCACGGTCACCACCAGCCACGCCCCGTGTCTCGTGGCGGAAGCAAAAGGAAAATGGAGGCGGAGGGTATCGATCCCCCTGCCTGCCGCATGCTAAGCGGCCGCTCTACCATTTGAGCTACGCCCCCGGTGATGGAAATAAAGGGGGCGGCCACCTATTTGTTGGTGAAATTTCCCGGCCGACCGGACGCGATGCGGCCCCCTCGCGCGCGCTCGCGGGCCCGGTTCCCACCCAGAAGGAAGACGGCTGCGGGCGCCTTCTCTCCCTCCGGCCCCCAGGTCCGCCCCCTCCCGACCGTCGGGTCACTGCGCGAGGTTCCTGCCTGCTCTGCCTGCGGCAACAGCCCAGCGCAAGCATGCAAAACTACAATATGTTTATCTATATACAAGAGAGGCGCAAGGGCGGGTGTGAAGCGCGTGAGCGCGCGCGCGCATACACACACACACACACACATACGCAAACGCGCGTGTGTACAACCATGTCGGTCCTCGACGGTGCAGCGCCCCACCAGGGAGAGGGGGGGGGGCACTGCTGCCGGGATGAAAGGGAGGGGCGTGGGTGGGAGCGGACGCAGGGGACAGGAGGCACACATTTCAAAGCAACAACAGCAGTTGAGGAAGAAACAGCAAAGGAGGGCAGGAGAACCAAACACCGGCGCTTGGTGCGCAGGTACACGCGCGCGCGCGCACACACACCACAGGACGGGCTCGGCCCCGGCGCCCCTCCCCGGCGAGCTCGGCCAACCACTCGGATCCCCCCCCGTCCATTACAGACCGTTCTGGCTGAAGTCGGCAGCGAGGGCGCGCTCGCGCTCGCGGCGGATGATGCGCAGCGTACGCGGGAGGTAGCCACGGCCACGGGCCTCGGCCTCGCGGCTGATCTTGCGCAGCTGGCGACCGGTCTTCGGGACCGGGGCGATCATGCCGATGATGATGGACGGCAGGCCGAACATGACGCCCAGCCGGCGCTGGGTGAACCGGGCCGGGTCCAGAGAGCGCAGGTGGCGAATCTTGTCGATGGTCTCGGGGTTGAGGTTGTTGCGCAGGGTGTAGAGGGGAACGGGGTGGGGCTGTGTGCGTGTGTGTGCGTGTGTGTGTGTGTGTGTGTGTGTGCGTGTGTGTGTGTGTGTGTGTGTGCGTTTTCCCCCGTCCGATCACACAAACGGCCGTGCATGCACCGGCAGGACAGGCAGAGAGAGAGAGAGAGAGAACGCGTGAGAAGGGCAGGAGCAAGGGACAGGGCAGCAGGAGCGCGAGAGGCATATGAACGCAAGGGAGACAGGGGGGGGGGATACGCACGGTCAGCAGGCTCTTGATGGCACCGTCGCTGCCGAGACCGGTGGTCGGCTCGCCGCCGCTGGCGATCTTGTGCTTGCGCGACAGGTAGTGCAGAACGTGGCTGCGGGCGCTGAAGGACAGCGGCGCGGCGGCGAACTCCGGCCGCTCCATGAGCATCTCCTCGGTCAGCAGGGGAGCCGGGATGCGGTCCTCCGGCATCAGGCGCTGAGGGTCGCTCTCGCCACCATCGAGGTCGTTGTCCGAGCGGAAGTCGCTGTCCTGCTCGGAGGAGGACTGCGAGAAGGCCCGGGCAAAGGCGGGGGCCATCAGGCGGTTGCCGGCCTGCTTGAAGGAGGTCGACACGGCGCGAAGGGCGAACATGGTGTGTGGATGTGTGGATCTCGCTTTCCGTGGGGGGAAAAGCAAGGAAGGGGGGAGGCAGCAAGGAGAGGGGGAGGGAGGAGTGGGGGGGGGGGAGGGGCGTAGATGGGGGGGGGAGGGGGGAGGAGGAGGAGGAGGTGCCCAGGTACCGAGCACCCGGGCCGGCCCGGGGGCGTGAGGCCCGGGTGGGCTTTCAATCGGATCACCTCTCCGCCGGGTCGGGGCGCGAGCATGCGCGCCGGTTGCCGCCCTCGGGTGCGCCATGTTCTCTGCGGGCGACCGGGTCGCGGCCAAAAGCCCGCGGCCGTAAGGCGCGCAAACCGACGCGCTCGAGGGCCCGGCCGCGAGCATGCTCCCCACACAACCGGGGGCGGGAAGGACCC